GATATAAAAACGAATAAAGCAAGAACATGTAAAAAGTAACATTAATAAAATGTCTATTAACGATGCATTTAGAATAAATTGTCTTGTAGTTAAGTGAAAAAATATATACTTTTCCGTTTCATATTTCATGACTGTCATATTTATCCCTTAACTTTAAACTGAGCATCGGATATTTTTATTCCCGTCAAATCGTATAGATACACGCAATATGAATGGAATATATAACACTTTATTTGTGCTAATAATACTCAGAATTCATGCTTTATCGGTAATGTCGGGTATTGACACTAAAATGGTAAGGGGGCTTCTGATGCCCTCGAAGTATGGGACAGAAAATTATATTGCATGTTAGGTCTATTCTTATATCTCTTTTATGATTATATGTACTATTGCAGGGAAGTCAATATAGTCTTTAGTTTCGTATATCTTTATTTCAATCGAAGGATATGAAGAGAAGGAATACGTTTACTAAAATAGTCGGATTAATGTTATTCTAAAGTACACACTGAAAATGCATAGTGTCGGTATCTATGGCTCATGGTACATATGTACCACCTTTTGGTCAGTTATTGTATTATTACTGCCAGATGGCGGAACAATGAAGTATCATCGATCTGGGACTCCCGATCTTTTTATTTAATTAATAATTGGACCGGTAAAAAACAGTTCAGTTCAAAACCTTAATTGGCACGAGATCCAGGCTGTACGAATACTGAGCACCTAAATCTCACAGTTTAAGAGACATTGTGGTTTATTACGACAGCAGCTTGTCGCCAGATGTCGGGGTTGAGCTCTTATCGGAAGTCTAGTGTATATGGACCATCAAACTGTGTTGTTGTTCCATGATCATAACAGATACTTGTTTACTATTGTCACGTGTACGTGGATTGTGGAGTTTTAATAAAAATCATGACAGAGAACAATGATACTGTTTGTTTCATAAGCACGCCTGGTTTTTGTTCTGATTGTGGATCAATTTTGCCGTTGTTGGGCAATACGGGAAACGTTATATGTTACGCCTGCAAGCGCACGTGGGGTCCCGAAGGTAATTGTTTCATACTTTTTTTATTATTATCGAAGTACATTGCAGTTATTCTAATGCTGATATTATTAGAAAATATATGACTATAACTTCAGCTTTTGGTGATATGGCTATGTCATGTACCATTCACTTTAATGAAAACAATGCCTATGAATCTTCAAAGCAAAAGGATAATGAAGAGGAAGATACGGAAGGCCCAGTTGTTGAAAGAAAGTGTCCACAATGTCAAAATGACAAAATGTCATATGCTACATTGCAGTTACGGTCTGCAGATGAAGGGCAGACAGTCTTTTACACGTGTACCAAATGCAAGTATGTGTTTTTAATAACAGTAGAATCGATAGAGTTTAGGAACAATGATTACTCACAAGCATTTAAAATTGGTCTAGATACAAGGAGACAGAGAACTCGTAACACATACGTAGTACAGATGTATTTGTAAAGATTTGACAAATGCAACAGATTATCGAAACATGAACACTCTCTGTTAATAAAACATAGAGCTTTATTCATGATACATTCAACAAATATCAATGGAGGGACAATAATAATTCAGTAATATCACTGGACTATCAGTATGTTTTCATCCTAGTTATTTGTGGTTGGGTATTTTTAGTTGTTTTTTTTAATTGTATATATTTGATTAAATATTTTGTACAATATGTATGAATAAAAGTTAACAATTAGTCCGAGAAATTGTTTCTTGATCCAGCCTTGAAACCATTACAGTGGTCCTTTCATTATAAAATTGTCATATTTAAAGAGTTTGTTAGTACATCGCTTATACTACAAATAGACTTAATAGTTACTATTAGTTGCAATATCGTTATTTTTAATAATAAAGCGAAGTAGTCATGTAGAGGAGTTTTGAACAACCAGTCCAGCAACTTAGTTGTATATACATTGAGGATATCTTAAATAGTGACAGTCATAGATTTTTTACCATTTTAGGATAGCCATGGCTGTGTCTTTAAAATAAATGTGCACCAACTAACAAGAATAAAGTTTTTATCCAAACAAAAACAAGAACTACACAATCACAAACAATAACGAAACTATAACAAAACCAAACAGTTGATAAAAATAAGCAATACAAAAGTAATGAAACTATGAGGTATCAGACGTTGTTAACGGTTCGGCGGTTGACGATATTCTGTCCCAAACTGTCCGTTTCCACCGTCTTCCCATGGTTACACGAGAAAACACATGTCTCGTTTTCCCAGGACATTCCAGAAAAAGAGAAAGTTCTCCTTCAAGCACTTGGGAAGACGGCGACGTAATTCGACCTACACTGAACCTCTGCCATGCAGATGTTATAGCCTGGTAGGCAAAAATGCAAGGGAACGCCGAAACTGTAAAGGTCTGCTACACCATATTATTAGTAAGAACAAGGAAACAAATTTTATTCTCCTGTTTTTGTAATGCTTTTAGCGATCTTAGTAGTTTGTACGATCTTTTGTTACACAAATGACATAGTATCTGTAAAAGGAGGCATAATAATACTTGCACCTTGTATGACTAAAATAATTACAATAGAAGTGCTTTTTTATCTTCTGCTTAATATTAAAAATATATGTAAAAACTGTCTACCATCACCCATAATTTATAAACCAAATACAAGTGAATATTATCAGCAATATCGATATTGCATCTGTTTCTTTAACATTCTTTCTTGTAGAAAGAGATACATGTGAACTAGGTATTTTTTATAAACACTCCTCAAAGAGTTAATATTAGACATTTTTTTCACATCAAAATCACGCTCACCTCGTTTAATTATAAAACAACATGTAAAACATAACAGGAATACGTTTTTAAATTCGTTATAATGAGAGAGTGATGCTTTCTCACTCCAAACTTCGTTGAAATTTCCAGGAACTTCTGAACTTATTTGCATAGAGTGATGCAACGTAACTTCAGCATTCTTCGTTTTTCTTATGTATAAAGACTCTTATAATAAAATTATACTTATCTCGGGTCCATTAGGCCTTCGATAAACGAACAAACTAGTCTCTATTTTACAAAAAATATAAAAGAAATTCCAAAGAGCAGTCCATTATTACTTAATGGTTGGTAAGTGTATTTAGCTCAAACAACTCAGAAATGTAAAGGATGCGTAAGTATCAGCCACACTTCAAGTACATCGATTTCATCTCGATAATTCCGTTTAAGATGATTATTGATAAATTCTGTTGAACTATTTATAGGAAACTTTTCATTAAGACAGTAATAGTTTTACAATGTTCCCTGAAAGTAGAATAATTCTAGACTTGATTATTTATCATTAGTAAAATTTCTCCTTTCGTATATTTTAACCCTCGCATTTTTAAGTTATTTAATAAAAATTGGTGTTTGCCTAGACGTGTTCGGTCCAGACATCGTTCTTTTATTTTACGAAAATTTGCCTTCAACACGATATAAACTTGTGGTACAATTGGAAAGAAATTGATTGACTGTTCAGGATCACTTGTATTGTGTCCGATTTCTAATTCAGGATGGGTGTATGTAGTGGTTTATCACTTTGTTTGATCGGTCGAGAATACATCTAAAGGTTTGCACGATAAAGTGAGAGATGGAGCCATTTGGTAGATCAATTAACGGGGAACCCCGTGGATGTTACAACGAATATCCGTTTAATTCAATTCTAACTGTAGCACGTGGAAGAATCATATACATTTCAGTCAAAAACGGTGGTTTAAATCCAATGCCGTTATACGTTCTATGAATAACAAAAGAAAACGATTAAAATGAAGTTATGATCATCAGATTTTCGATCTTTCTTATCTCTCCGTTCTTCAGGAAGCACGAGGAATTGAGGGAACATTCTCTTTCGGATTGTTTACATCGAGTGTACCTATTTCGTTTCACCGTCAATTATATACACTAACATCTCATATTACATATTGTACATCGAGTATGTACAAGTGACAAGGTATTTACAGGTGGAATGTGAGGCAGGTGACACGCGGAGGATCTAGATTGTCGTTTCACATCTATGCTGCGATCATGAAGCTTCGAAACACTCGTCCAAAAAGTTCTCCAGGGAATGGTACAGGTGCGCTCTCGACTGCGCGATTCCGTGATCCTCGTCCGTGTATGTCTGCAACGAAAATAACGATTTCTAGAAAGACTTTTCAACGAGAATCTCAGAAATACAGAAAGTTCGACTTGTAACGTGCTAAAAATTGTACCGATGTATCATAATTATTACATACATTTAGAAATTCGTACATAATATCATTATGATTAAATTGCTTAGCTCTATAACGACTTTAACGCTTTCATTTTTCAACAACTCACTCGTAGTCCACTGACAAGACATCATTCGGAAGGAATACGTATATCTGCTGTGGGAAGCAGAATGCGATGTGTATACTACCAATCATAAATTTAAGTTTAACGAATGTTTTTTTACGAATATCTCGGAAACTAAGGCCGATCTAATATATACACTGACGTGCAAACTCGACTTCCGTTAGAGGGGAAAAAGTAGCGTTGTCGAAGGGTCGCATACCATTTGATAAATTTAAAACAAGTACTGAAATAAGTGTTAAATTGAATGTTAATTTGGCATAAATTTCAGTAACTTCCGAAACCAAGTGGTAGGAGGCCCTTTCCATTATTCAGAACGATGACCTTGATAGTATGTTTCAAGGTCATTGAAATCAGTCAGGGGACCCACTTACTAAATAAACACCATTTACTTTTACTATTTTACCGTAGCAATAATACTATTTCTGAGTCTGTTTCTGCAGCATATACGTATAATGGTGGTCACTACGGTGAAATTATCGAGGTTCATCAATGCGACCGTACCGTAAACATTATACGCACAAGAACTATACGATTAATCGTCGGTTCTACAAAGCTAAGCAATCACCGGTAGATAAAGTGTTAATTATAAAGTTCACGACGTAACCTGTTGTCGGAATAGAATATCCTTCTGCTCGAGGACCTTGGCAAGCAGCAGAGATTGCTGATAGTGCACGTTGTCGTCCAAAGTTCCATGAATCAAGTAGTACATCTTCGTTTTAATGTTGTCTACTTTGTTCAAAAGTTGACTCTGCTCGTAGCCATGGAGATTGTCCTCGACCGTCGGCAAACCCATGAACCGTTCCGTGTAAATTGAATCTGTAAATCGGGTCAATTATAAGGTTAATTCCGAGCGTTCAATCCCCTTCCATTTACTCTAGTCCCCTTTTATTTATTTCACCCTGACCTTTTCCCCCTTCTATCCTTTCTCCTGTTTTACACCTAAAATTTCGTGCACTTTTATGCTCATTCTCGTCTCCCTATCTGTCTCCCGCTTGCCTTTCCCAGAATTCTATCCTCTTTTATAGTTCTATGTAATTATTATTAGCCTGATAGGAATTCAATAATTAATCGTTATACATATATCTTTAGAGCACTAATTTACTTTATATACTTCAAGATATCGGCGAATCAGCACCGGATCAAGGGGGATGGGGGGTGTCTAGGGAGGCCCCAGTCTGAACCTTCCATTTCGTTATGATTAAATTTTATTTAATTTTATTTAAAATAAATACAAATTTCTTAAGATTTATATATTTTGTCGTTCTGTATTACAACCCCCACCCCCTCCCCCGTTGAAGACGCTTCAGTCCTAAACTAGCCGTCAAATGGGCGTCTTCTTAAAATCTCACGTTGATAAATACGGCAATTTAAACATTAGAACATAGTTCGAACATATTATCGGATCGATATTAAACAATGATTTCTTTGACTTCTCTCCATTGGCGGCCGTACTGTTGCGACTGGGGGAACGGCGATGCGTCGCCCGCGTAATTGTGCCCCGTGAATTACACGCCGAACGTGTGCTACTTAATTAATCCGCGAAAGCTGCGCGGGGAAATTGTGCAGCGCCTATAACACCTATACATATATACATATATGTATATACGTCTGTGTTCGCCGTGGATATTAAGCTTTTCCGCGGGTCGGACGCAACAATGGGAAACTGCGGAGGTGGAAAACGCCGTGGCGAAAAGGCGATGGAATTTCTACCCTTCTACACCTCCCCTTCCTCGCGACGCGCCCACGGAACAACCCCCGGGAGCCGGTGTGTGTTCGCGGGACCGACGTGAAAAATGATCGAATCATTTTACACCGCGTTGTGAATAAGCGGTTTTAATAAAATGTTTGCTCTCGATGATTTATAGCGGACGCAGCAACGTTGTGCGCGCGCGCGCACACTCTTGCTCCCTTAGTCTCGGCCGCGGAGGAACCGTTCGTTTCCGGTTTAACGGGGGCGCGCCCAGTACCGTTGGCCTGGCCTGGGCCAATTGCCGTGAGTGTTTCTTCTCGTTCCAAAGACGCTTATGGCGCGTACTTTAATCCGCGCTGGGCCTTCCCTCGGTCCCTTCCGCACTAAATTCCGTATAACAAATCGCACGGTATTTTTATTTGTCACCGGAATCGCCCGGTGGTAGGATTTCCTTTATCTGTATCGCTCGCGTTCTCTCGTTCGGCTATTTTATCGGACTCGGTATTCTTCGTCTGCGCCAGGACGGAATTTTATTCGAATAATACGTAGTGAAAAGTAGTATCCAAGTTTGTCATTTGGACCTTTAAACAGTTAAGGAGATTAAGGGGTTGCATATCTTTGAGCTGTTAAAAAAGAGGGGAAATTAACAAATTTTTGTGTATGTGCAGAATTATTTTTTTTTAAACATTCATCATAGACGTCTTATTATATGTTATTTCCTTAGTAATTCTGGAAATATTGAGATATATATCTATCAACAGAAGAAAATGGATGTCATTTAGTTTTATCGAAATTTATGTTAACCTCTAATTTCTTATATACTTTCTATTGCACTGTACTAAGCAATATTGGATTATATATTACACAATTTAACTTAGCATACAGTCAATGCAGGTAATTCTAGTTTTAAGTTCTAACTCCGAAACTTCGAAAATGTTTTCTTTTTAATGGTTGTATCTCCAAATACTAACAACGATAAAAAGTTATATCAACAGTAATATCGAATTTTGTTAAATATTGCAATAAATACCTATTCAGTAGATGATATACTGTGTTTGATTATTTCACGACTTTCCTGCTTCTACAATATTAAACTGCGTAAACTTAAAGCTCAGTTTTCTCAGTTCAGAAACTAGTGGAAATAGAACACTTAAGAACCAGAGCGACCAAGTATCTACTTATTCAAGAAGTATCATTTTATTCTAAAAAATATAAATTTCAACGTTCAATCAATTAAAAATAGTGAAATACTTTTTTACCTTTTATTCGTTGCAATTCTTTATCTACATAATAAATTTGCCCATCTTTGGTCTATTCTCGTTTATCGGTTAGTCGTTGGTGAATCGAGTGGTATGGATAAGCATGTAAAGTGGATTCAAATGAAACGTAAAATATAGAATTGGTAACAAAGAAATTTACAAATAAGGCGGGAGGAGCATCGACGACCCCCTTGATCGGCGTCGTGGCAATGTCGCGCGGCGGGGAAACAGAGGAAAAACACAGAACTCAATCCGCGATCGATATCTCGGGAATGAGGAGGTTGAACACGGGAGTCGTTCACTGTGAAAGGAAGTAAGGAAAAAGTCGTCGCGTTAAAAATCTGCATCGTCGGCGACGATGGTAACGTCTGAATGCTCGACTTGATTTCGAACGATGGTTCCTTATCGGCCAGATAAATCTGATATCTGGGAATGCGGGCGCAAAGCTGACTGCCATGAAATTCCGACAATAACTGGTATCGGCCGAAGGAGAAACGAAGAGCCGATAGCGCCTCGATAATTCGGCCTTTTTTCTTCTTCTTTTCGATTGATTTATTCAAAGCACTGGGAAGTTGTTTCAGACGTAGAAATTGTTTTTCAGTGATATTTTACAAACGTATCTTTTTTCACTTAATAGGGGAATATTGCCGAATTTGAACTATTGTCTAGGTTGGACTACTATTGTGTTTTTTTTTTGCAAATTTAGAGTTGCATTAATAACAAGGGTTAGTGACTGTTGACTGAATTTAAATACACATTATGTGCAACCTATTAAAAATTGTAGAATCGAAAGGCATGATTCAACAAGGTCTTTGTAGGTTGTTGAGGATTCTAATAATCTTGCAGAATGTTATCAACGTGCCTGGTACGACGTCGAGGTTATTGTTTCGGTGAAGTTATCCTTAATATTTAATTTTCTTCTTACTTGGTTATATTTTCCACATTCGAGAATAATGTGTTTGATAGTTTATAACTGTAGTATATGTTCCACAACAGTCTGGGAGGGTTATTATTAAGAATATGTGTGTGTGGTAGTTCCCCTATACATAATTCGTAAGATCGAACCAGCTACTACAGCAGGATGATTTTGCACGAAACGTAGTTAAGATTAAAATAGCGACGTTCTTTTTCTCCTAGCTCTCAAATATAAAAATATACTATTATCAGTCTGGAATTAAAAATATTTTAGTGGTCCAAATTCGGCAAAATTCCTCTATATACTTCATGCTTAAAGAGATTCCGATTCGTAAGATTGAACCAGCTAATAGAGGACGATTTTGCACGATACGTAATTAGGAGAATTAATCGAACAAATCACGGTTACATCGCGTTTCAAATTGTCGATTGTCTCGAAGCCAATGTTGTTAGTTCTCCCAATTTTTCTGAATCTTCGACGGGAAAAATTGCCACACGACACCGATCGGAATATTCATGAACGGGACACGGGTTCAAGAAGAGAATTCCGCCCGGCCGTGGATGAAAATATTATCTTATGCAGACGTACCGTAAAGAGCCCAATCTGTTACAGGTGCCACGGACATGCCACACTTGAAGACACCGCGATAATCCATGGCGAGCGTCATGCCTGTCGCGTATCCACCGTAACTCCAGCCCCATATCGCTGTCCTAGTGCGGTCAATGTACGGCAGAGTGTCTTGTAAATATCTGCAACCGGCGGGAAAATTGTTGTATAAAAATGATCCATCGTCGAAACGCTCGGAATTTATACTTTTGTCTGATTTCCATTATTTCCACGATTACAGGGGATTATTCTAGTCCCAGATCGTATATGACACCTTGAAGACACCCATTTTACGGCTATTTTAGGTCTGAGGCGTCTTCAAGCCGTCATTAAACCGTCTGTGTGCTATTTGGGGTGTAGTCGGTAAAAAAAGTCGACTTCTTTTTTCTTGTATTTTTTTTTAAAGTTTACGGCCTTCAAAATGTGTCACTAAAGGATGATGATGAAATTCATAAAATTGTCGAAATTACAGGAAATTAAAAAAACTTTTTGATATCTTGAAAATTACGATTTTTCCGGGGCACGAGATGTAAAAATTTTTTTGGTAAAATTCGGACCTGCATATTCAAAGCTTTGTAATTTTGTCAATTTTTTATTTATATTATTTATTCTAGGCCGGGCGATAGCCAGATTAATGGAGAATAAAACGCAATGTTATTTATTTCTTTCAAACGACTAGGACCGACACAATCAATGTCCCCAGTGGGACAAGTTTTAGTTATACTCCTATAAGTGTTAATAAAATGTCTTATAAAAATTTGTGTTTTCACTTTAAACATGTACGAAGACATGTATGTAAAATCAGAGCCTCCTAGGTTTGATAGTTATCTTTAAATTAATTCCCAAAAATCACGTTGAAAACGGCCGTCTACGCAATAAAACCCCACTGACACGCTGACTGCCACAGTGAAAAAGGTCGTGCGTAGCTAGACACTTTTTAACTCATAAATCGTCGAAAATGTATCCGTTTATTTAACAGAGGTCTTGTTTTGAATTGTACTGCGATAGTAATTTTGCGCAAACATTATTTGCAAGGAATTAGTGCATTAAATAGTTTTAAAACGACTACTGGCTCTTGATTTCACGAGGAAACAAATTTTTATAAACAGGACAAGTTCACTCGTCTCTCGACATTTGTCGCTATCCAGCAAACTGGCAACGGATTAACTGAAAAAATTACCACTTCGCATAAAAAGCTCCGAGTAAATGCCTCTGAGTTCTTATTGAAAAACACCGAGGAAACTTACCAGCGAATTGCAATAAGCGTATATCCGTTTCACTTCCGTTCGCGTAATAATATCAAGTGTCTGAGAAACATTCGCGGTATACACGTAAATCGCGAGATTCTTTTCCGAAGGAGTCGCGTTTGTATATGTGCGCAGTGTCAGGAAACGAACGTTGCACGGCGAAAGGAGGCAGGAGAAAAATAATGTCGAAATGGCCATTAAGCCAGGTCCCGTAAATGCGGGGATCGGCTTACGAGAAGGTTACAGAGAGATCTTAAATTTGAAAAGGCACACGGTCGCCTGATCCTTTCGCGGAGCAGTTCATAAAAATCGTTCGTAAAGGATCGTCCACTAAAATAAATGTCGTTCCACCGATTCTAAGTGCCCGACCGCCGGATGCATAATGCATTCGTGTTCCGAGTTTCTTATGTTCGTGCACTCGTACCGATGAAGATGGATTTCTGAGGTGGGGGGTGAACATCGAGAGGGCGTGTTGAATTACAGAGAATCGCGGATGTTCCCAACGACCCTTCTTTCCCCCTTGGAACTTGTCGAACAGAGCCCTTCGGATCTTTGTAGTATCGGCCAGGAAACTGCAAACGTACCGATCAAACGTTATAAATATTTCACATTCACGGTTTCTCTCTGTTTTTTGGTAACGATCATTGGAATAGGTCGTGGACTGTGTAGAGGTGCGATTATAAAATTATCGATAAACGTGGACAACATTGAAATGTTATCGATATTTTGATATATCGATAATGGGTTAAAATATCGTTAAGAATAAAAAACGATAGCGCATTAATTGTTATGAAATCATTCGTAATCTATTTTTGGGTGAACTTACTGTAGACAACATGTTAGTGTATTTTGGCTGTAATCTGGTTCTTCTGTCTGAAAGAATTTTGTATATTTATATGTATATTGTAAATTATACGTTATAAATGTAAATATAATATGTACGTGTATTTTTCTTTGCGAAATCGTAATCGGTATTTGATTTTATCTTTTTGTTACTTTCTTATCCGTTACAAAATGTTTGCCTTAAATTTATATCGCAGTATAATTTAAAGCAAGACCAACAGCCTCTATTAAATAAACGCATATACAGTGCGCGGCATAACTATAAAACCACCCTAAAATTTTCAATTCTTATGTATTGCGATTGAAATAAAAACGAACCAACTATGCCATATCTGAATTCCTATTGAGAAATAATGTTTTCCCAGAAAAGGATAGATTGTATTCTCTAGAAAAGAAAACGATTCGATTTTATTTTAACCACAATATATGAAGATTGAAAATTTTAGGGTGGTTTTATAGTTATGCCACGCAGTGTATTTTCGACGATTTATGATTTAACAAAGCGAAATAAAAGGTGTCTGCTTATGTACGACCATTTCCACTGTGGTAGTCAACGTGTTAACGATACTATCGATATATCGTTAAGTATCAATAATTTATCGATAATCGACAGTCGCACCTCTAGAACAGTGGCGTATCTATGAGCCTTTTTTTTGAGAGGGGGGGGGTGAGGCTGAAATGTGTAAAGGTACATATATAAGTACAATTGTTTGGACCATCTGTTCCAAGTATAAGTGACATAATATTTATATATTTTATTATTGCTCTTAGGAGGGGCGATCATCCCCTATCACCCCATCTGGATCCACAACTGGTCGTGAAGTATCGCGTGCACGTACCCATACGTTTCAAAGATAGAAAAATGTCGCCAGGATAACTCACCGTTGATAATATTGACGAAAGAAATGAAAGGAGGGGGGCAGGTGTGTACGCGGCTGAACTTTCAAAACAGGCCAATATAACGGTCGATTCCCGGGCTCGAAAACGTCGACAATGGCACTCGTCGTCGACACGACGGTACGAAACTTTTCCCAAACACTCTTTTCACGGTGCATTCGATTTCTTCCACTCGAGACAATACGTGATTTCCGATCGCAAAAGGGTAAAAGAAGAGCAGACTCCCGCTCTCGTGGTACCGCCTTCTTCCTCCCAATCTTTCCCAGACTATTGTCTCCCCTATCTCGCGTCTGTTCAATAATAATGGTACCACGGGGAACCGAGGCGGTTGCCCATAGAGATAGTAACGGGCTCGCCACCCCCACCCTTTCCCACCCTCTCACCTGGTCCGCCCCCCCCCCCCTCCTTTTTTCGCGAAATTTATTTAGCTCGTAAATCGGCCGGCCCTCCCGTTGAATTCTATTCCGCCAGCAACGAGCCTGTTTCCAGTGCAGGGCATCGATTTTCAGATAGAATTTCATTTTTTCCCCACCCATCGGACGAGATGTAGAGGGGTTGCGGTGCCATTGTCTTCGATTGGACCTTTTAACGGCTCGATCGTGCTCGGTGGGGCCGCCAACGATCGAGCCTCGTTCTATTCACCAATCGATTTTCACGCTTCCGTTGCGGTCGCCGTGTCGTCTCGTGTCGAGACTGATTAACAGACTCCGGAGAGAATTAGGTTCGGAACTAATGTTCCGTCGTGGTTTTTTTTTTTCTTTTCGGATTTACTTTAACTCCGTACCGTTCTGTGCTGCTCGAGGAATTATACGGGTATCCATTCGATATTGAATTCGGCTAAATTCATAATTCGATTATGGAAATGTGGTGATTCATATCTAGATCGGACGGCTAAATGATTCATGTGGTATTTAGGATCGAATGGATAGTACCAAACGGTTTGAAACGAATCATATCATGAATTATTTGGCGTATACAGTATAGCAGGCTTGGATTAAGATTTTTCGTGGCATAGGACTATCAAACCTTCCAGGGCCTCCTTCGTTGAAAAGCCGGGGAGTGGAGGGAGGGTAAAAAATGTTTGTAATAAAACATACAGTAAAGTAGATAAATCTTCAAAAATTAAAATTTATCTTACATAGAAGGGAGTCGGGCAAATTGGGCGCTGTACTGTACTCACAGATCTGAAAGAATATACGATACTAGCATTTTATTTCGTAATTTCGAATACGTAACTAAAAGACTCGATGAGAGTTGGCTAGGAAGTTCCTCGTGAGAGTTTCTACTTCATCCCCATAATTTATTACCCCCCCGTTCATGTTGCCTTGGATCGGCCTCGGGTACACAATATATATGTGAGGTGTTGAAACGACTCGCAGTGCACCGTGAAAGTTTTGAAGGTGACCCGAGTTTCAAACTCTCACGGAGTCTCTACTGTAATACCATACACTTTGTTAATCCTACCCACAGAATCGTATAGAATTTCACGTGCACCATCGTGCCAAATGAAAGGCAGGCGGCCGAGTAACTGCTTATTTTCCATCCGTCTTTCGTCTAATTTACGATGCTTCGATGGCCGAGACAGAACACCGCGCAGGCGAGCACAAACGAATTGAAATTCGAGCCTTTCGAAAATAATCGAATCATCGTCGTTTTTGTCGACGAGCGCGTTCCTCTTCATCTAGCTGGGAGAACAAGCAGAGAGTAAACAAAAAAAAATATAAAAATAAATTCCATGCCGTCCCTAGAGCCGCCACGCGAATCCTGATTTCGTCGAACTCATCCACCGATGTGTCCGCGGGAGGCGAGCGCCCGCGAGAAGAGCAAAATATTCTGGCCGCTCGCCCTTTTTATACGACGTGGGTAATTGCATTTTTCTTCCCATTGGGGACGAACTTTATTAGGGGGATAATCGAGTTTGCTAGCCCCACTGCGAGAACGCGGTCGACTGTTTTCGGCGTCACTTTGTGGCTCTTCTCTGTTTAATTAACTTCGATGTTACGTCGCTCGGTGGACGAGGGCCGGCTCGGATCAAAGGAAAAGATGTGCCGCGATGTTGCTGATGAAGGCGGTTTCGTGTCACGAGAATGGCACAGCGTCGACTAATAAATGACGACATGTGCCTCCATACAGTGGCCATTCGTAGAACATGTATT